AAACTATGTCTTAGACTTACAGAATTAACTTATACAAAAAATCTTACTAGTCCTCCCATATCCCTTCTTCATGGTCTATGCGAATAGCATGCACATCACCCCCTTCATTTTCTTCAATGAATGTAGTCACATTTGTTGAGAAAGGATAAGTTTCAGAAATATCAAGATTCTCATCATGATTTTCATCACTATCATGGACCTTTCCTTGTAAGACCACTGACCACTTTTTATTAGAAGGATTTGTGACATAAAACACTTGTTTTGCTTGAGATGCCATGATGAATGGTTCGTTCGCATAAGCTAACTTGCTAAGATCAACCAGTGTAACTCCAAATTCATCGATTCTGACACCATTGTTGATATCAATCCATTTGCATTTAAATACAGGAACTTTAAACACAACATAATTAACTTCCCAAATCTCTTCAATCACCCCAAAGTACGGTGTAAATGCCATAACCGGGTTTTTATCTTTAGCACTAGAGAAGTGCATGGACTCGGCCACAATCATTACCCCACTATTTTGCGTGGTACTACGGTCATCCTTTGACTTTGTATAAAAAGAGGTTTTATTAATATCATATCCACTCCAAGTTATTATGTTACATTTAGGCCCGTAAGACAACCACTTAATTGTATTAGAAACACTATCTTCATTAGCAATTCTTTCTTTAAACCACTCAGAGAAACTCTTATTATGCTCTTTTAACAACCCTCTTTCATTCATCTTGGGGTACTTTTTCTTTATGATGCTTTTGTGAGCAGATAAGTAAGGTTGAACTTCATCTATGTTATTCAATATATACAAATGCGCTTGAACAACCACATCAATACTTAAGCTCTTAACTTTTAAACCTTGTGTACCCATACCCTCATATCTTCCATCATGACGAGACTTGGGAACCCCTACAACATCCACTCCTGACAAATAGTTAGAACAAAACTCAATTGCTTCTTCTGTAATGTACCTCTCAATAATCGATGCTTCCGGACGGTGTGGGTTTTTTGTATACCCTTTTAGAATCTTCATGTATCGCTCTATTGGATACATCCACCGTAAAAAAACTGGACCACATAATCTAATCTCCCTTACTAGATGAACAATCAAGTGAACCATAATGTCAAAAAATGAAGGAGGAAAATACATCTCTAATTGGCACAAGATAACTACAGCCTCATTTTCCAAATCGTCTAACTTTAGTGGATTAATGGTTTTACAACAAATTTCATTGAAAAATAAGCACAACCTAGTTATAGTCTTCCTTACGTTGTTAGGCAATATCCCACGAATAGCCAATGGTAGTAGTTGTTGCATTAAGACATGACAGTCGTGAGATTTTAAGCCAACTAATTTAAAATCTTTAACTGATACAAGCCTCTTGACATTTGATGAGTAACCATGCGGCACTTTGATACTTTGTAAACACTCACAAAAACTTGTTTTCTCTTTTTTAGACAAAGTGTAGCAGGCAGGAGGCAAATATGTCTTGTTACCTATATATTGTGGAGTTAACTCTTCTCGTATACCCATCAAACCCAAATCCATACGAGCATTAATACCATCTTTTGTCTTGCCTTTAATGTTGAGAAGTGTTCCGATTACACTATCGTATACATTTTTCTCCACATCACATCAATACAATGTCTTACATCAAGACTAGACCAATATGGAAGATCGAAGAAAATCGATCTCTTTTTCCACACATTTTTCACAGTAGATCGTTTTTGGTACTTTCCAAAGACAACGTCAAGTCCCTGTTGTCGCCGATAAACTTCCTCTCCAGACAAGGGCTTTGGAGCAACACCATGCTCTTGTTCCCCATTGAAAGCTTTCCGCAATCTACGATATGGATGATAACGTTTTAGAAATTTTCGATGCCCGAGATAAATGGTCTTCTTTCCTTTTTCAAGCTGATGGTAACAAGTATCTTTTTCACATATAGGACACGCATTATGCCCTTTAACTTTATACCCAGACAAATTACCATACGCCGGAAAATCGTTGATGGTGCAAAACAACATGGCACGCATATTGAATTGTTCACCAGAATACGCATCAAAAACATCCACCCCTTCCTCCCACAACACTCTTAAATCATCAATCAGTGGACTTAGATAAACGTCTATGTCATTTCCTGGTTGTTTTGGGCCCGATATCATCATCGATAACATAATATATTTACGCTTCATGCACAGCCTAGGAGATACGTTGTAAATCATCAAGAGAACAGGCCAAGAACTATGGTTAGTACTCAGATTACCAAACGGATTCATTCCATCAGTAGCAAGTCCAAGTCTAAGGTTTCTCGACTCTTTGCCAAAATTTGGAAACAAAGAATCTATTTTCTTCCATTGCAAAGAATCAGCTACATGACGAATTTGTCCATCATATTTTCTTTCTTCTGCATGCCATCTAAGATTCTTTGCATCATCTGCATTGGCGAATAATCTCTTGAACCTTGAAATTATTGGCAGGTACCATACGACTTTCACAGGAGGACCCTTTTTGACCACCTCATCATCAATTGATTCACCATCTTTCTTTTTGTAGCGTGAAGCCTTGCATTTTGGACAATGATTATGCTTTTCATACTCTTTTCTGTATAATATGCAATCATTAGGGCATGCATGTATCTTTTCATACTCTAAACCCATCGGACACAATATTTTCTTCGCCTCGTAATAACGACTTGGCATTACATTACCTTCTGGAAGCATTTCGGTTAACAATTCAAGCAACTCGGTAAAACTTTTGTCAGTCCACCCATTCTTTGCCTTCAGATTAAATAATTTTAACACGACTGACAGACGTGTAAATTTTTTGCATCCCGTGTACAATGGTTTATCTTTGTCATTGCATAAAGTATCATACGCATGTGCCCTCTTAAACGAATCTTGTCCAATATCACGCAACATGTCTTCTAGACGATCATCCATTTCTACACTAACATCATCTATTTGAGACACGTTTGACTTTGCTACTACTTCACCGTGCCATATCCATTTTGTATAACTTTGACAAATCCCTACACAAATTAGATGATCCATGATTTCTTTCTTACTACATTTTGGTTCTTTATTTGCACAACGAACACATGGACAAAGAAAAAGCGTAGGAAGACTTTTGTCAGCATTACTTTCAGCAAACTGTAGAAATTCCATCACTCCATGTTCGTACTCGTCACTTAATCGATTAGCTCTCATCCAACTACGATCCATAACTATGTTCACACGGAGGAAGGTCTGACGAACGGTGTGCCCGCGGCTGCGCTACTTCACGGAGATTCTGAGATTGCAAGTTGCGCTGCTTCGCGGAGAAAGCAAAATATAATCAAATTTCAATGGCAAGGTGATAACTCTATTAAGATTTCAAAACTTGAAACTCAAGTCTACAAAACTTTTTATTGAGAAAAAAGGTGCTACTTATGAAGTTGATGGAAATATTGAGGAGTGCAACATACAACATTCATATGCAATATGTAAGGGTGATTTTGAACTATTTCAAACATCATCAAATTGTCAAGTTATATATTTAAAATCATTATGTCAAGTTTTGTGATATTTGTAGTGGATTTGGCTGTAAATTATTTATTTGCATTGTAATACCCGATGTAATAAGTTGCAAAAAAATTAATTTATTCTTTAATTTATTTTTTATATTAATATCTGCTGTGAAGATATTACATCGGTTTTTAGTCAACCGATGTAATATGTTGCATGTTTTTTATTAATATTTCTACTACCTTGTTTCTTATTTACAAAAATGCCACCGTATTTTTTTCTGAATACTTTTTACATCGGTAGATGCGTTTGCCCGATGTAATAGGTAGCGAAATATATTTTTTTCCATATTTTTTATATCATTGCAAATAAATACCTGATGTAAAAAGTTTGTTAATTGTATTTTTTACATCATATATTTTGATACCCGATGTAAAAATCTTTTCTCAAATGTCTTTTTTTTAGTAGTGTTTAGAGTATTATAAATGTATATCTTATAATATCTTTTAGATTATTATAAATATTTTATAATATTTTTTTATATTAATTTATATGATATTCAAATTAATATAAAATATTATAACATTAATGAATTGATCGAATCGAATCCACCGAATCTGATACCCGTAAATCATTCAGACTATATTATTTTTTGACTTTTTGATTTTTGATAATATTAAAAAAAAAATTATCTTTATTAACAATGATTTTAAGACATATTCTAACGTATCTTTTTTGTTCTCGTCAATTTGTGGATTAACATACAATCGGTTATTAAATTGATTATGGCTCGAATGGTTTAGTTAGATTGTTATTATACACGTATTATAGTTTTGTGTACTTACTCTAAATTTTACAACAACTAAAAATATTAATTTTAAATTAAAATCACCTATAGTTATACAAAAAATCCTTTTAATAAAAAAGCCTATCAAACACACAAAAATATAATTGAAGTCATTGAGAACACTTTCAGGTCTCTCAAAACTAAATCCAAACATACACTAAATTTAGTTTTGATGCATTATAAAACAAATATTTTACAATCCTAACCAATAATATATATATATATATATATATATATATATATATATATATATATATATATATATATATATATATATATATATATATATATATATATATATATATATATATATATATATATATATATATATATATATATATATATATATATATATATATATATATATATATATATATATATATATATATATATATATATATATATATATATATATATATATATATATATATATATATATATATATATATATATTTTCTAAATATATATATTTTCTAAATATATATATTTTCTAAATAATTTGACCATAGTACCGGGACAATACTTTGTTGGCATATTACATGACAACATAAACTTATTTTATATTAGCAATATATGCAAACATAATTCATATTTTATAATATAACACTTCAATCTTTGGGCATGCAAAGTTCTATTCAATCCGCAACAAAATCTAAACAAGTCCATGAGTCTGTTTATATTGCATTGCGAAACCATAAATTTTGTGAGGGTGAGGGAGTGACTTTGCCACACTCTCTTTTTCCATACACCTTTTGGCCCAAGCCACAAGCTTAGGACACTCTTCCTCTATGCTTAGTTTCCCATAAGTCTCATATGTGTAAAACCAACTTGTGAAAGGAATAAGAGCCACATCAACATATCCAAAGTCATCTCCACCATAATATGGCTTCTCTCCAAGCTCACCTTCTAAAGTCTTCAAACATTCTATAAACTTCTTTTTACCCTCTTCTTGTTCTTTACCTTTTCCTGTCCATACCTTCTTTCCAATGTTGTATATCTACATCAAATAGAATCTAAAAATTAAACTCTTTTTGTCTATTAGTTAAATAATTAAAATAAATTCGATGTCGTAAGTTTAAACTCGTGTGTGAACATAAATATAGAATTACTTACATGTTTGTCAATGTAGTCTCCCCAAAACTTGGCTTGGGATCGGTTGTAAGGATCAGAGGGCAAAAGAGAAGGTTTGTGATTCCAAGCCTCATCAATATACTCAACGATGTTGAGTGATTCACATATGGGTTTTCCATTATGAACCAAGACTGGGATCATTTCGTAAACCGGGTTCATCTCTAAAAGAAGAGAGCTTTTAGATTGAAAATCTTCTTGTCTGCAGTCATATGAGACTCTCTTCTCCTGCAACGCGATTTTCACTCTCATTCCGTATGAGCTTGGCCAAAAATCCAACAAAACAACGTTGTTATTTTCCATGTCTTTACTTTACACAATGTGTAGCTTGCTTATTAGATATTATTTGTAATGTGAAACAAAGATGGTGTTTAGATGATTTAGATCTTTGTGGGTGATTGGGTTATTTATAGTTGTGCATTTCTTGTTTGGCAAGAAATACAACGTGGAAAGTTTGCAAAAAATAGAGTCATTGTTGATGTTGGACTTGTGATCTATCTTTGGTGTGCTCCTTCTTTTTGTAATGTTTATTTTTGTGGAGTTAGAGCACTAGAAATGTGAAAGGAATAATTTTAGATGCAATTGGTCAATTTTGATAGAATTCATGTTTGACCCGGAATATGTAGTAGTGTAGAAGTATGCTACAAAGCTACTACTATGAGGATAAAGCTGATTGCATCATGAAAAATAGACATGTCACAAAGCTACTCCAGTGACTGTCACATGGTACTTGAAAATATAGCAGGGCGATGTATAAACTTATTATACAACTGGTTATGGAAAACAACCACTCTAATCTAATGATCAGATTCAATTGAAACAATTCTCTTTTCAAATTCATTTAAAACAAGTGTCTTTTCAAATGATTAGACTATCAATTAAATAGTAATTTTTCTTTTTTTCGATTGCAAAAAAAATAACATAAGTTTTAAATAGTTAATAAATTATTTAAATTTAATATTTAGCGAGCATCAATAATAAATTGTCAAAGTTAAAATTACAAAGTAATCATCTCTTAATTATTGAAGACTATAGGATAATATTTTTCAACTAAAATCTAAATAATATTAAAATTAAAAGTCTTGTAGTTATCTTGAGAGCCAAAACACAATTTAGAGTGAACAAATAATTACTTGCTCACTAAATCCTTTGTTAATGATAGAGAAAAATACTTCAACTCTAAAATAATATTCAATGGTTACATGATTATCTTTATGATGAGAATGTCCAAATTTTATTGTTGAATGAACATCGTGAAAATCAAGAATCTCAATATCATACTTAATTTTCATAAAAAGACTTTACGTAAGTAAACAATTTATCTCAACCATTTTCTCTTAATTCTTGAAGAAGGTCTTGTTGTACCAACCAAATGCATAACGTTAATTACTTTATGAGATTGTTGTTTTAAGACTTTACATAGGATATTTGTGATCCCCATAATTTCTTTCATCACATGTAATATTAATATAGAATCAAACGCCTTCAAATAATTGTAAGCACTATCACCATCTCCGCATGAAGCATAATTTAATCATTCCTTTGCAAATATTCTTGAAACAATACAAGATACTTCATACATATTAATCAAGCTACAAATAAAAGAGAAGTGTGACCCCCCAATGTGTATACTCAGCTTGTCTCAAAGTACTAATTGTTAAAGCTTGAGGATTCTATAACTTAAGATAAGGGAGGAGTTCCAACTTTCTAATAAGTGATATAATTGTGGCTAGGTAAAGATATGAACACGTTAGGGTTTGTGTGTAGATGATTTTGTTAAAATAATTGTTATAATTGATTGAAGTTGGTGAAATTGATGTGATGATCTGATTAGAATTGTTGTGTATAATGTTTGTTGATGATCACATGACTTTACATGTTTCATTGTGTGTATAAAAGTGTTTTTGGATGAAAAAGATTAAAATTTCGTAGCAGGAAAAATAACAGATTTTTGACTTTGTATGCAGTGTAATCGGGTACAACATATGGGGTAACCGGTTACATGTGTAGTTTTGGGGAAAATTAGGCAAAACGTGAAGGTGTAATTGGTTATTGCATATGTGGTGACCGGTTATCCAACTGGACAGTAGCTTGTATTTTTGAGTTTCATGGGTGTAATCGGTTACCCCATATGCAGCAATCGGTTACCACTGAATTTGACAGATTTTTACAAACTTTGAAAATTAATAAATTTTGACTCAGATGTTTGTTTGACGCACCGTTTGGACCGTTGGAAAATTAAACATATTTTCTACAATATGATAATAGTTTTACTAACAGTAGGTGAATTATTTAGGGTTGGAGGCTTATGCCTTGGGTGTCAGTGTCAGATAGATTGAGGAGTATTCGTGATAATTGAACATGATAAATTTTGCGAATGTGTATGAATGGACAACAAGTTATATTGCTGTAAAATTATGATATTATTGGATTGGATTGGCGTAAGATTGAGAGCTTATGGTTTGTTGTTGCATAATTAATATTGATTGCATAATGATGATGATGATGTTATTAGCTCGAATTAGTTTTTATATTTAAGGGTATTTCCTTATAGTTGTATAATCTTGTTGTTGCATGTCAGTGTCACATACATGTATCATGAAAGCCCGGATTTGGCTTATGTTGTTGGCTCAGATTTGACCGTATGTTAATAGCCTGGTGTAATACGGTGGGAGAACTGACTTGGGATATTTTGCGTTTGATCGCAATTATTGCGGTTAGCAAGAGTCGTCACCGACTTTTCTTTTATCCAAAAGGAAAGGCTGGAAAAAATAGGAAAGACCTTTGAGATTATTTATTGAGTTCGCGGGGTAGATTATGAAAAGGGAAGGTGTTAGCACCCTTTTCATCCATAGTTATCTATGGGTTCTTAGTTGCTTTCTAGATCACTTGCTTTGTTTGAAAATGTGCTTCGTGGTGGTTTTAGAAAGTATTTTTGAAAAGGCGCCTTCGTTTAGGAGAACTTTGTAATGATTCTCGTTTTGACAAGAATATATACAAAGTGTTGGACTTTTGAAAATATTTCATGGAAAGTGTTGATGTATTTGAAAAGATGTTTGTTTTTGAAAATTTTTGGTGTGTGTTTTATTTTGAAAGTGAGCAAGCAACTAAGAACGTCTCTACCTACTCAAAAGTCTTTTGTTCATTTCTTCCTTTGATATTACTATCTCACTATTGATTGGTAAGAAGCCTCTCTTTGGATGTAAAGGGACGTGCGTGGGTCATCGTATAGTCATGATAGCAATGTTGTAAGATGTCTTAGCATTTATCTTTGAGGGACTAAGATCATTTGAAAGGCAATATTTGTAGCATCATCGAGGGACTATGATCTTGTATTTCGATTGTTTTTGCTAAGACATCCCACATGCATAACATGACCATTTTTATAAGGCAACAAATGGAGTTAACCTTAAGGGTGCATGTGTGAATGGCGTGTTTGATTTGCGTGCATTTAATATTTGATTAGGGTTATCTATTTGTTGATTTTTATCTTTCCATACAAACCCTAATTACTAGCATTTATATGAAAGCGATAAATTGCGGAAAGTAAATTTACTACGCCATTACATCATTTGGAGATGGGGTATACAAATTTACAAATGGGGATTGCAAGAAATTAAACCTAATTATCTATTACAACCATATTGAATAATGTATAAGAAATGAATAAATATAATGTGCAAGGATGTAAATGGAAAAGAAATAGATTTTTGTTTGGTTTTTGAGGAAAGAGTTTGGTTTTGACCTAATTAACTAAAAGAAAATAATTAATTAAAAATAAGAAAAATCAAACCTAAACTAATTAAGAAAAGAAATTAAGTTTAATCAAGATATTTTTAGAGTTTTTTATGAAAAAGATTTTTATTTAATTAAACTAAAATAAAAATTAATTCAAAGAAAAAACTAAATTCTAAGTTAATTTAATTAAAGGAAATTAAAACTAAGTCTAATATTAATTTGTTTAGGAAAAGAAATTAAATTTGTAATAAGAAAATATTTTTTGTGTTTTTTATTAATAAAAATAATATTTATAATAATATTAAAAATAATAATATTTAAAGAAAAGAAAATAAAAAATAAAATAAAATAAAGAAATAAAAACACGGGGGGTAAAAATTAGATTTGGGTGTTTGTTTGTGTAAAAACAGTTTTTGTTTTGTTAGGCCCAATGGCTTGTTTTTAGAATCAGAAAAATAAACAAAAATAAAAAGGGAAGATTTTAAAAAACATGAGAGGATAAATTTTGGGGTACAACAGCTTGCTCTCGCTGTCTCATTTAAAATCCAAAGATATTTTTTGAAAACAAATAGAATCTAATTAATCCTAAATCGCTCTCGCTGTATTTAAAATTAATATTTGATTACCACTATATGATTAAAAACTCACACTCTCGTGATTATTGGTTTTAGCCTTTGTTTCTCTCTTACTCTCGCAACAAAACAATTTCATATTGAAATTTTGAAACCAAACAAGAAAAGTATTTTATAAAAGGTTTAGCCAAATTATTACCGAACTCCTTCGGTTTGTGACCTTACATACCTGTATAGGGAAATTAGCCAGACATGTTATTCATTATGAACACAAAATAATAGCAGACATATAGTAATTCATGCATGATTGATAAATAAAGAACAATAATATAATTGAATTAAAAACCTGGAATTAAATAATGAAAACAATAGAATTTCTGCAACACTTCAAGTACTGATAGAAATCCTCTACAATATACCGGCAGGATTTGCTTGTGGAAAACTAACTTGAATGTAGAATAAAAACTATAAAACTTAAAGCAAAATTCAGGAGGCTATGAAAAGAAACTAATGATGCAATAACTTTCTGGTGTAGAAAACTATTATTGTTGGTGAAGGTTTTATCTGCCTAAATTTTAAACAAAGCTCCGAACTGTTGAAACTGGAATAATGACGTGAAAAAAGAGAAAATGTAAAACAACGTAACAAAAACAAGAGAGAGCGGAGACGAGAGCCTTTTCTGTGTAAACTGTTCTTCTTCTTATAATGCTTTATTGTAACAAAACTTTTTGAGAGAATTTAAGAGTTGTGATTTCGTGCTTCAGAAAAATCCGTGCGTGGAGAAAAACCAGGAGGAAATAATGCAGGAGTCGTTGGCACTGGCAACATGGAAAATTGTGGAGAAATCTTCGCACGTCAAATAAAAAATAGGCCGTGCCAAGTGGCATGTATTGTGTGCCATGGGGCACACATATTTCTTGTGTCGATCGTCATGGTTTGTGTGTCGAGGGGCACACATATTCAACTTGTGTCGAGCGTCATGGAAGGTGTGACGGTCGTCACAACCTTCTGACACGAATTCTTCTGCTGTTTCGGTCTGTTTCTTTTCTATTTCTTCTTCTTTTCTCATGTAGGTCTTGGATGAGATAATTACCTGAAACACACTTGAAATACCAACATAATGCAACTTAGTTGAGATAAAACGGTAACTTTATTTATGCAAATCGGGTCGAATATGCTATGTTTCGCGTTATCAGTGAACTGCCATGTGATCTTCAGAGATAGAAGACTCGTTCTTTATGAAGGCAGGATGACTCTGATATTCGGAGAATCGTTGGCCACATGTCCTCGACGTGCATATGGAGAAAACGTCCTCAATGAGAACAGGGAGGAGACGTTCCCTAACGATCGTAGCTATCTGAGCCACTTTGTTGGGCCTTCCTCGCAGCAGCGTTGGGCCGGCCCTGCCCGACGGAGGACCAATTGCTGGTCTAATCCACAACAGGTTGTTAGACCTTCCTTGCTATAGAGTTGGACTAGACTTTTACCGACGATAGACCAAACGCAACCCAATCCAAAACAACACCCTTTAAAAGAAATATTTTGAGAAACTAAAAACGAAATTTAAAATATAGATCACAAACATTTTTAACCCTTCTTTATTTAATTTTATAATCATATTTCTAAAATATGCTATTTTATTTAAAAAGATATAAACTTTAGTGCAATATTTTTATTCGAACTTCACCATTCTCTTAAATATTTTCTTTACTATTTTAATATTCTTTACGCACCTAATAACTTATTTTTTTAAATAATTATATAAAAGAAATCTCTATTATTTTTTTTGAGAAAAAACAAAATACATTCCCAGTATAAAATAATTTTATATTAATAATGAAAAATATATATCATAATAAATCTCAATTTTATTTTTAAAATATTAAAATGAAATGACAAATGAAAGAGTTTTGGTTAATTATATATACAAAATTGTTTTATAGAGACAGTGCATTATTTTAAACATTATTTTTTTGCCATAGAAAAAATAAATGATGCATTGAAAGTATAAAATCTAATAAAAACATAATATTATTTTTCTATTTCATATAAATTCTTAAAAAATTATAATATAATTTGGCAAAATTCATGATAGTGGATTGTATGAAACTTTTTCATAATATCAATGCATTATTCATTTTCTCTTAAAAAGTTTCTAAAAACAATCTTAATTCAACTATTTGAGAAATTATGTTTTTTACCAGGTTCATTTACGAACTTAAATTTAAATTTTATTCTAAATAATTCTTTAATCTTCGTTATATAGTAAGGTTGAGTCTCTTCCCGCGGTGCCACTAGCTAATCGGTTTTCACCACAGCAACGGCTTCTTCAGCAAATCAATTTCAACTTTCAACGTACATTCAATTCTCAATTCGCCATTTCAGGTTTCATCTTCCTCTTTCTTCCTTTTCATCAATTTCTCCATTATAGCAGATTCTCTCCTGCGTTCGTTCGCTTGATGATGATTTCACTGGTTCCTCGAGCCACGCTTTTCAATCGAATTTCGAAATGCGTTTGTTTGGAGATTTAATTTTTGATTCGTTCTGCGTTTAGGTTTTGAATCGCATTCCACACGATGTTGCAATGGATGGGAGGATCAAGGCGGAAAGTTAATGCTGTGAGTTTTTTTTTTTTTTTCCTTTTCGTAGAAATTTTAATCATCTTTGCTACATGATTGCAATCCTGATGTTATATACTGCAAAATCAGAAGCTGAATATTATTTAAATGATTAACAGTGTTCTGTAGTACATGCCAATTATTTGCATTGAAATGATGATAACTAAGGTTTGGATCAATCCAGAAGATTATATACAATGATTAAATCATGAAGTTTCTGGAATAAAAACTATTATTTCCATTAGCACAAATTTTGAACGTGATTTTCTTGGTTTGGTATTAGTAGAAGAGATATTAGGCTGTAATGTCTTTTCGAATTCGAACATGTTGTAACCGAGGACCTGACACGAAGCTTGTTTTTCTTTTTCCATCCAATCATATTATCTATCGGATGCATGTCTTCACTTTTGAACTGAGATGGGAAATTTCAGTCGAGGATGTCTACACAGAAGAGGTAAAATGCATAGATGTAATTATACTTATTTATACTAGTGGAATCTTGTTGGTTGAGACTTGAGACTTGAAAGACTTATTCTTCTGAGATTTTTTGGTTGTTTGCTCATGCATTTTATTCAAATACTTATTTCTACCAGGCAGAAGCAATATTTTGAACAAAGGAGGCGTCAGCAACAAAATGTTCAGATGAATGGGTTAGATAACCATGCTGAAAGCTCGGGCATAGATGGACAAATCCACAAAGAGCATCAGTCTCTGGACATTCGTAATTTGCTAAACTTATCAAAAAATGCACAGGAATGCAATTATGTCGGTCATAAAGGTAAGTCTCTAATATTCTTTCTGCATAGCAGTTGTGTTGTTTCTTTATAGTCTTGCAAAGAGAGTTTTGTGTGTCAGTTTAAACATACTACTATTTTTATGTGACCTATATTGATCAGTTAAGCAGTTTCCCAAATCCCAATATTGTTCTGTTTGGACCATACATGAAACATGGACCGACACTAGCTAGTGGAGTGTTATTTGGAGATGACAGCTGCATTAAATATCACCCAAACCTATTAAGGATTGGCTTTGTTTGCTTACAAAAGAGAGATGGTTTCGTATCATGAGATTTTCGCGAATATAAATCATGTCTGCATTGTACTATCCACACACTTTCTTTCTCCTGATTTTCATGTTTTACTAACTAACTAAAATGGGAATGATTTCATTATATTGAAAAATGGATGCCAATTTTGGCTGATAACTCATTACATTATGCTTAGTAAATTCAGGCTCTGATAGATTTCCTATAGAGATAGCTATGTGATATGAGGGGGAAAAGATTTATTAGGATTCCTATCCAAATTAAGTTTCTAAGTGCTTTCTCGTTTCTTTTGTTTTGATGGCTTCATGATTCTTTCTTGTTCTTATTCAGTTTACTAAAATTATCAATTTCTCTGAAATTGTACAATAGTGAAAGGGAGGGACGAAGGAGACGTCTTTTCTGCGATGCAAGGCAGTGTCTCAAGAAATCAGCCAAGAATATCCGCCAAAGAGGAGAACACTGTAAATGCTTGCGGATTTGAAGAAGAAAGTATGAGCTCTAGTACATTTGCTCTGCTGTGTAAACTGCCAAGTTTTAATGTTTCCATTTAAATGCAATTTGGAACTGAGATATGCAGCATATGGTGAATTAGTCACAGAAGCAGGAGCACCTTTATGCGGCCAGAATAAAACTTCACCAAAAAAGTAAGTGAATACTTTTATATGTTATTGTTATTGAGCCTTAAAATTTATAACACCAAAGAGAATGATTGCATTGTTTTCTCGTACCCATTGTTTTACTTCTAACTAATTGTTCTACTTAGTTAGGCATCTGGGGCAAATAAACCGATAAAAGGTGTTCTCACTTCTCAATTAATCTAGAAGCATATGTCAAAGATGTATTTATTCACTTGTTGTCTGAATGGCTTTAGATGACTGCACTATGCCTTTTTCTTTCCTTATATGGGTGTGTGGTATTTGGATTGGTGAAGTTGGGATTTTTAAGACTTCATTAGTTGCCTTGGTTTCTCTGGCTCGGGAAATTTTAGAACTACCAAACTAATCAAACTCATTTAAATATAAACCAAATGATAGAATTTGAGGAGTGTCACTCTTTATAAACTCATCTTGGACCTTTTCTCTATTCAATGTGGGAATTGGATTTTTCCCAATAGATCCAAACTTTTAATTGGTTTGTTTTGGTTCTTGCACGCCAATATTCTCTCTGCAGATCTCTCTTTTTCTTCTCTTATTTTCTTTGGGGTTGGCAGAATGAGACAGAAATACCAGGGGAGTGGTCTAAATGGACTGGCTTGATTATTTTTAGGCTAACCTTCAACCACCACGAATTTGATCTTGCGATTCACCATATTGATATTTTAATCACTTGACAGGGTTTTATCAAGTGCTCCTGATCACCAGAGTACTGCTTTTGATGGACCACCAAGCCATTGGAAGACAGCAACCAATCCATGTAAGTAGCATACTATAGATATTCCACAAGTGTATGCTGATACTTCCACAAGTGTATGCTGCCGGTACTATGGTGTTTCTTGTCACAGCAAAGTTTAGATCATCTCTCAGATTTTTTGGCTGAGGCCATAATACTAGAATTCTTTAAAATCTAACTTTTCTTTTTATTTTTTATCACCCAATCCTTCATAACTTTTTCTTCTTACCTATTATTTTTCTTTGTTCAAAGACCCAGAGTTATCTGTCATTGATTTGCTTTGTGATGATGAGCTTAATCCCACTGTGGAAAAGTCTCCAACCTGTGAAGATCATGTTTCTTTTTCACTTCAAGGTAAAGCATGCTTTTTACTCATATTTTATTCCCTCATGTTTCATATTGCATTATTCATAGGGCTTATTTTATTCCCTCATGTTATATACTCGTCAGCAGAATGTATGAAATATATGGATAGCTCCCTTTTAAATTCGACAGGAAGCTAAATTGCTAACTGAATTTTATCTCTTACAGTAAAATTTTGACCATTGTGATGGTGATTAAATTTGTAATGTTCAAATTTAGTAACGAAACCAAAAGTCATATCAGTTTCTTGTTCAGAAACTGGATATGATTGCATGATATGCTTAAACATTCAGATAAAGTGAACTTTATTTATATCACTGTTTATCCAATTGTCACTTACAGACATTTTTTTTCTTCATACAACATCAACAAAATCCTTTTAGGTTTGGGTAAAGTTGGAACAGAGACACCTGTTCATTCGCCGCAACAAATGGCTAGGTAACTAAATTGATAATTTTTAAGATAGATCGCTTGTTAATTCCTGCTTTGACTGTAAGACTATTCTGCAAAGAGTAGATATTTTTAACATTCCTAGTGTGTGATTAGGGAAACTACTATTGATCACATGAATTTTAGTGCAAAATGTAGAAATTAGCGTAAATTTTTAACATTCCTAGTGTGTGATTAGGGAAACTATCTATTCAATACCATGAAGACACAATCACATAATATCCTAACGGATATTAATTATAACAACAATATCTCAACAGAACTAAAGCACTCCACTTTATGGTTTGTCCCGCTTTAGGTTGTTTAGCCAGTTTCAACATTGTTTAGTACTCTATGTGTCTTTGCTGTCTGGTGTTCAACTAGTTAATTTTGCCAGTTACTATTTGCTGCATTCAAGACAGTGGTTACTTCTAGGCATCTTGATTTTACTTGTAGCCTTCTTCTCCGTGTTTAAAGATTCATAACCAACCTAATAAGTTATATTTAATTCCTACGAGGTATTAACTTTAGCTAGTGTTACTTCAAACTGAGTCATATACTACTTGTGAATTACTTGGACTATCATTCCTCTACTTTCATAAAAATAGCCTTAAGCATTCATGCAAAAACCACTTTTAAGATGTTGGTCTTGAATATAAAATTGAAATTCTATGAGGTTGAAACAAAAGTAAACAACACAACAGAAGCAGGTTTGTAACGTTCTTATAAAATTCACAGGCTGCTAGCCAAGATAAACAGAATCTTTTTTTAACATGTTTTGGAATTGGTGGTTTGCAGAAATCCATATAGAAACTCTCCATTTCTGAAGGATGGAAGGAAGAAAAAGTTAAAGAATCTTAGCCACGTGTTGGATGACATTGAACTTGAAGTGGTAAAGAAAATGCTTTTTTTATACACGCTAAAGTTATTAATTTATATTACATATGGCTAATTTGAAAAATATTGTTTCCTGGACTCTATAATTGCGAGAGTTATACACCAGGAAAGTTGCCCAAAGTTAATTTTTGCAGCTTAAACCAAAGTTGAGAAGGTTTCAGTAGCAAATTATAGTTGTGGAGGTTTTTTTTTTTTTTGAAAAAAGGAGGGAGATCTGATTTCAGGGAACAAAGTGAAATTCTGTGCATGCCGACCTCTACTTAACGTTGTATCTGGTTCTTTTACTCTTTGCCACTTTTAGTCCTCTTATTACATCAAAATCAGACCTCTTGTGTTCTCTAATGGTTAAATTGTATCATTATATTTCACCTTTTTAATATTGAAACTATGCATGTGGCTCACTACTTATAGGATGCAATGATGCAAGATATTGGGGTTTCACCAATCAGTTCAAGCTTCCCATCAAAAAAGTTAAATCAAGGTTTAAAAGTTGTTGAAGACCACAGGCATTTTTATGACCACATTGACAAAAATCGCCCTTCCATCAGTAAAGAGTTCTTCCACGAGACTGAAAATAATGAAAACAACGAAGACACGTGGAATGGTAATCTAAAGCTTCCCATTTTCCATTTTACTATCTTACATCTTAAGACCTAGCAGTAACCTTTATGCATTTGTTGCTTTGCTTATCTAACGTCACCTAACTTATTGGGAATACAGTAACTATATAGTTCTACAGCTCCAATCAAGTACATCTGAAATGTTAAAATGCCTTTCCTTAGAAAAGAAGGGAAAAAATAAAAGGAGCATTCCTATATAATTTGTATCCGTTTAATTTCCTGGAATAATGATTCGGTTAAAACCTGCACAAGTCGTCTGCAACTAGCTTTTAAGTACACTTAGTTTGTTTAAAGGTCAGGGTTAGCCTAGTTTCATGGTCACATATTCAGTCTTTCCAATTCATAACATGCCAATTTTTTATGGATATTTGAAAGATATTTAACCCCTTAGTGTTGTGTATATAGCATGTTCTATCTTCCTGGACGAGAAGTTTGACGAAGCGATAGGATATGATACCTCATATGAGAATACTTTTCAAATGGATTGTAAATCTCCTGAACCATTGAAAAGAGCGGCTTTCAAAAGGGAATGTTACGGTTTTGAAGACCTCCTTCCGAAGAAATGGTATTTATGTATTGTATTTTAGCACACTGCATACCTTCGCTTTTTTCTTACAATGATATTTTTGTCTTAAAGATGGTTGTTTGTTGTTTATGGCTCTGTAGGCCTTCAGCAACAGCAAAGAAAGATTTCAACATGGGTGGTACAGCTTGCTTGCTTGCTTAAGACATCATTTTAAATTTATGTCATTGTTTTCAAAAGTATTCTTTGAACATCAATGGTACTAATAACTCCTTATCTAATTTCCACCGCTCTAGTTGGTTCACCACCATAAGTTTCCATTCTTCTTTTTTGTCATGTACCTAATATATGTGCAGAATTGTCTGGTCATTTGACACTTCATTAACATGTAACTGTATGTCTTATTTTTCTTAAGAATGATGTTACCTCCACAATTGTTGGTTATGCTCAGATGATGCTACAGTTTTTCTCATTTATGACGGTACTTATGGTTATTTCTACATCAATGTTTGTGACTTTTAACTTCACATAAGAGGTTAAAATTCTGTCTACTAGATTGATGGTCAACGTGATTCACTTATTCCTAGAACTGATGTCATGTAATGAACATGTAACATGTGACTTCATTTGTTTGTGAGCCCATAACATATTGGCATAAGTAATGATTCATATACCATTCTGTGCTGGTGTTTATTGCTATGCTCTTTTTCTTTATCTTCAGAGCCATTGACTTCATTTTCCACAGACCAATTAGATGATGATTTTAACTTCTGTGGTGCTAGTAGGACAAGGTATGCACATTATTCTTAGATGCATGCTCTCTTGTGGGATGAGCATTTGCTTATGTTTTTGTGTGGTTGTAAATGTTTTAGATCATATGGGAACTTCAATGCGCAAAATTTATTTCCAGAAGATGTACGAGACAGTTCGAGCTTGTTGAGGTAAAATCAGAATAATCCTGGGTTTCAAGGTGATTTCATCGGTTTCTTTGTATTGTTACTTGTGTCTGACTATTATTTTTTAATGATATATCAGCGGAGAGTCAAGCTCAGCCACTGCTGGTATTATATTGTCTTCTCTCTCTTTCATTCGCGCGCACACACACAAACACCAATGCACACTCTTAAGAGTCATATATATTATAAATAGTTCTATCACAAGACATTGGTACCACTGCCAATCTTAGTTGGAATGTCTATTTTATGTCAGTGAGGGGTGAGTACGTCGTGCATTCACCGTCAAGATTAGTAACAGGAGAGAACAGAAGAAAACAAAGAAAGGTTTTTGCAAGCCCTAGTCATAAGGGCAGTACTCACGAAGAGAAGAACAGAAGTCTTCCAAATCCATCAAAGCGAAAACCTTCTCACCGCTCAAACTTTATTCTCGAGGAAGAAATTGGTGCACAAAACAGCTGGCAGTTTGAGAAAAGATATGCTTTTGTTGATAGGAATTCTGTTACCACTTCATTCTATCAAGAACTAGAGGCAAACCTTTCAGTCTTTGGCTGCAATACTCGAGCTGAAGATCCTTTCCCTGTCTTTACTACCCCTGATTACAGGGCTAGTCCTTCCTGTGGTGGATTTAAAAATGACGCAAGCATGGCCGATTCTCCTCCTTGCAGTTTCATCTTGGAAAAGTCTGCATTTGACAGTCCAACTCCATTCCCGAGTTTTCATTCCTGGCCAACCGGACCAAGTTTATCTTCAAATTTTCAGTTCAAAGAAATGCCTCAAGACAATGGTGGTTTTCATTGTGAGACTTCATCTACTGATATGTCAGGACAAGGAAGTGCGACCAAAGGGGAAAGACAAATGAAATTGAAAAAAGACAGACACAATTTTTTTGAGCAAGAAGATATTTTTATGGGAGAGAATGAAATATCCTGTGAAAAGAAAATGGAAGAAGATGCTCCAACTACCGATAATCATGCGCTAGAAAGTGAAGGCACAGATAACACTAATCCTAGGACAACAGAGTGTCATGAAGCAGCTGTTTCTCCTGTTCACGTGGAGATGTCCTCGTCACTGAAGAGACCTGACAAACACGGAAGTCCAGAAGATAACAGAAAGTATGCCTATTCTTAATTCCTATATTTTTTTTCTCATTCTTAGATGCTATGCTGGTGTAAACACTCTCATAATACATATATTACATGAGATATATGCTTAGGAAATTGAAATTTTCACCAGGAGCAGTTGTGATGCTGAAACAGAAACTCCTCTTAAATGTAAAATTACAAATGAAGGTATGCAGTTCATTGGTCTATCAATCTAATTTCTTCTATATTTTGCTCTTTGATTATTTTCAAAATGGGTCTCCTATTCTTCTTTCTTGATACAGAAATGAAAGTTAGTCCGCCTGAAGGAAGAAACAGGGTAAACAGAAATCATTTTAACGATCAAATTTGCTTGTCTTCGGGTCAGGTGATGTTTGAAAGCTATGCCTTTCATCTGCGTGTTCAGAAGGTATTGAGGGGACCTTCTACAACATTCAGAAGGAATAACACCTCCCTTGGACCTGGTAGGTATATAATTTCTCATCAGATTTAGGGAAAAAAATGAACATTCAACATTTTTTCCTGCAATGCATTGTTAAACATTTTTCTGACTTTCTCGGATATGTTTCGGTATAGTACTTCTGTACAAGTATGCGTATCGATTAAGGTAAGACTTAGCGTTGAAAAATAGATTTTAAAGGATACCTAGTCCGAAGAGAATTCTTCATAATATTGTCACTTGAGTGCATTTTACAATTGCAATTTATAAATAATTGCAAAATTTTGATATTTTTATTGAACCAGAGTATAAAAACATACCTGCATGCGCCATTTTCGAGATTAATTTTAATGCATCGTCGATCAATAATACAACATTCTTAATTTATATGGTTTTTTTCTCTTTTTTTTAAAATATGGACCTCTCAACTAGCTAGAATTCCTTGAGAGTTCTCTCCCCCCCAAAAAAATGACACTTCCTTGAGAGTTCTCTCCCCCCCAAAAAAATGACACAAACATAAGTAACTCTGCCTTAAGCAGAATGTTATAAAGACAACAAAAATATTGTTATCACTCAAAATAATCAATAAATTAATAACCCAAGGCTACATCAAATGAGAGCAACAAACTGAAATCTCAACACCCAACAGCTGTGGTAGGGATCCCATTTCTTGGCATTACATGTACAAACCCCATACACCATTACAAATTTAAGGGTGTTTAAAAATATGGTTAACTGATATCAATTAATTTCTCATAAAAAGAATAAAAATTACTTGAGAGTAAAAAGAAATTAATAAATCTTTTTGAAAATATTTTAAAAAAATCAACGAAAAAAGTTTTTTTTCCTTGAAAAATAAAAAATTTAGGAAAAAATATCTTAAAATAAAAAGATATTTTATTTCTTGAAAAAAAATTTTCAAAATGAATTTTTTTTTTCAAAATAGAAAAAAAAATCAATAAAAAATTATTATTTTTGAAAATAAATATTCTAAAAATATTTTTTTAATATAAAAATTTAAAATTTTTAGGAAATTAAAAAAAACGGTTTTAATAGTCTAAAATTGTAAAGTGATTATAAACTAGTTTATAAATCTAAACTCATTTTAAATTAAATTGAAATTATTTTAACAATTAATTAAATTTTTATGGAAGTGATTATTGCAAACTAAATCGAACCATAAATATAATTTAATTCAGTGCAGTTCATGAACCATGAACACCATGTTAAAAACCATCTCCTATTGCTTTTGAAAAATTCCAACCTCTCTGTTTTTTATTATAAGATTTCTTACAAATTTTATGAGTATTGAAAAATAGATATAATTTTTTTATAAAAATTGTGTTACATTTACTTAGTTATGAATTATTCGCACAATTCATAATTAGTTGTGACTAATTATTCTCACAACTCTCCACCTCGTGCATAATTTGAAACATTTAAATTTTGGACGAGTACAAAATAATTTTAACAAGTTCAAGCAGTGTTGGAACTTGCTACATGATACAACTGTTATAACTACTTCTAGAGAAATCTTATTTTATCATAAAAGAATCAAATCGTTTGTATCAATGTTTAGGAGATTGTTTCAACCCATAAAGTGATTTTCTCTCAGGTTGATACATATATATCTCCACATCTAAGTCTCCATGCAAGAAGATTGTCTTCACGTCTAGTTGTTCCACCTTAAGATCACCAGAGCTATTAAACTTAATAACACCCGGATAGAAGTATGTTTCACCACCAGAGAAAATATCTCATTGTAATCAACTCCTTCCTTTTGTGCAAATCCCTTGGCCACTAGTCTAGTTTTATATCTTGACCGCACGAATTAGTATGATCTTCTTTTCTTTTATACACCCACTTACAACTGATAACAAACTTTCCTACATGCAATGAGACAACCTCCCATGTCTTGTTCTTGTGAAGAGATTGCATCTCTTCCTCCATAGCAACCAGCCAACTCTCTCTATCTTTGTCTTTGATAGCTTGCTTGTGAAGGTGTGAAGAAAATACAAGAAAGGGGGGGAGGGTTGAATTGAGTTTTCCTTTCTTGAATAACTTTCGCTTCTAGGCATTATTCGTTGAACAACGCTTCTGAGTGTTACTTCTAAGTAATGCTTCTAATTAAGTTAAGAAAACATAAAATCTAAAGCATAAGCAAAAGTAAAGAACACGCGATATATCCTGGTTCACTTGAGAAACCTCCAAGCTAGTCCAGTCCATCCTTCCGAGGTGATTTCGCCTTGAACTCAAAGACTTAATCCACTATAATTAATTTGATTACAATCGCACAGGAAACCGTCGGTGACTAACATCCAATGATGCGTTCAGGGATCCAGACTAGATATAACGTCATTGACCCAATATAATCTGATTAACCAGAATTTCCTACCAGGATTTCCTTCCAATGATATCCATCAGTAATGTCAAAAGGATGACCTTCACTCAGTTCCCTTTGAGATGTGACTACCATTGACCCAATAGAATTCACTACCAGGATTTCATCTATGATGGCCACATCCAAAGTCTTCTTGAGAATTCTGACTTAACTGAGTCTATCAAAGAACCATCAAACAACTATTTGATTTACATTTGTTTACAATGATAATGCTTCTACACAAGTTGGATGTAAACAAAATTAAGTACATCCGAAAAACCTAATACACACTAAAAGATATTACATTTTATTGTAGCTTCAATGTGTGGTCTTCTTTTCTTCAAGTAACTTCTTCACAGACAACAACCCAAAGCACTTGAATTGCTGAAGTCTTCTTCTTCATAAGCTTCTGAAAGCTTTGTTGATCTTGATGTAGTAGAGAGAAGAACTTCTTCATCTTGATTCACCTTAGAATATTCTGGACAACAACCATTGTCCCATTTTCTTCTATGATCACTTTAGAGCACAACATTTGTGTTGTGGATTTGTAACTGGAGCTTTCATGATCATCTTTATTATCTTCTGCGGCTTAGCAAGCTTTGTGCAGCATATGAAATTAAGCACATTGGGAATCTATGATTTCATTGTAATCAGTATCAACATGATTGAAGAATCATTTTGATAATAGTTGTTTTGGTTGTTGTTATAGTGGTTGATATATTTTTTGGTTGTGTTCCAATAATAACAACTTTCCTTTTTAACATTGAACACAAACAACTTGTGACTTACAACTTGCAGCTTTGAGCAACCAGCCAACCAACATGCAGCAAGCTCATCAACAAGTTTAAACATACGATTATTTTCTTATATAGCCAAGCAAAATAGAGTCGTTCGCTATTTAAAAAAAAGTCGTTACAAATAGTACTACTACGTCCTTATCTCTTCCACACTTCAAGTTAGTGGAGAAGTAGTGGCATAAAGCTTTTTCGTGTTGTGTACTATTGTACCATGTTACCGTTATATTCTTTCCTTCCGCACTTCAGAGGCTTCTGCGAGCATGAGATTAGAACCGGGAACATAACATAAGGTCTTCAGAACTTCAAGTCTTCAAAGTTTTCAGAACTGCGTCTTCAGAGTCTTCAGCACTTGGTCGTGAGAACCCAATGTAGCGAACTTTGGATCAGAAGAGCTTCAAGTCTTCAGAGTATTAAGAGTTGTGTCTTTTGAGTCTTCATCACTTGGTCTTGAGAACCCATTGTAGATAACCATGGACCTTTAGAACTTCAAGTCTTTGGAATCTTCAGACCTTCTGTCTTTAGAATCTTTAGCACCTGGTTCTTTAAGAGTCCTTGTCTTTAGAACCTTGTTATTAGAAACACAAATTCTTTAGCATCTGGACTTCAGTAGAAACGTTGTCTTCAAATCTTTTAACTTTGTCTTCTTTAAAACAAATTGTATTTTAGAAACTATGTTTTTAGCATCTAGACTTCAGTAGAAACTTTGTCTTCTGATCTTCTAACTTTGTTTCTTTGGAACACAACGTCTTTTAGAAACACGAGTCTTCAACATCTGGACTTAAGTGGCAACTTCTGTCTTCAGATCTTCTGACTGTTTCCTTAGACCACGTTATCTTTAGAAGCTTGAGTCTTCAGCATCTGGACGTAAGTAGCAACTTCTGTCTTTAGATCTTTTGTCTGGTTTCTTTAGATGAACATCAGAGCTTACACTTCAGAGCCTTATGGAGTATCTTGCTACTGTTCAATAGAACTTGTGTAGCGTAGAAGCAGAATCAATTCTCTTTTAATGTCTTGGCCACACCATCCATCAGAAGCAGAACCTGTTTGTTAAGTACTCAACAATAACAAACATTAGTACAAAAAATTATTCATACAAACATACTCATTTGTTATCATCAAAACTCATAGATAATATTGCAGAACCAAATCTTGTTCTTACAATCTCCCCCTTTTTGATGATGACAAAACTATATATTTTGATGACATAATTTTGTACATAATCATAATCAGTGAAATCAGAAGGTTAAGGAATACTTATCCTTCAGATGAGAAACTCCCCCTGAGTCACAGACTGGGTGTGGATCAAATATCCTGAGTGTGAACCTTCTGGATGAACTCCCCCTGGTTGTAACAGATCAGATATTAAATCCTTAGAAGTCTTGATTCAGATGAGAGAACACTTTGATTCAGGTGCCAACTGCGACTTGATTCAGATGCTAAAATGCCAATTGTGCCAATTGATATTTTCGATCATCAAGGTAAAATGCTTTAAACATTAGAGTCAACTTTACGTAAAGTCTGATTGCGAAATGAACTTCCAACTGAGCTTGATCTTTTAGAGTTCTAGTTTTTCATGACTTCTTTTTATGGAGCTTTCTATTCAAATTGTTTAGATAGTCTTCTACTTCTGATTTGCTCAGATATGTTTCTTATCTTCTTCTGAATGTTATGATGTCAAGATCAAGATAACTTTATCTTTCAGAAGGTTCTTCAACTTCTGGACAATGTTGGTTCTATCTGATGATGAAAAGACTATGTGTTACTTGTACACTTTACTTAAAGTGCTTTCCTTATGACCAGTCTTTAGAATGCCTAGTGAACTTGTTTAGAGTTCCTTGGTTAAAATACTGAAGCACACATTAGTGGTAAGATTCATC